GTGGCCAGGGCCGGGGGCAGCGGCAGCGTGACAGGTTGTGGGGCCCCACCCCGGGGCTGGGTTCCTCTCGAGCAGGGTCGGCATGTGCCCAGCAGCCCCACCACTCTGCCCAGCACTGGCCAAGCAGGCGAGGGGCAGAGCAAAGACCCCGGGGGCAAGCCAGGGTGCGGGGGAGTGGGCTGGGTGGCTCAGTAGCGGGCGCTCCCCCAGCGCCAGTGCTGCCTCGAGGCCACAGGGTCCTGGGCCAATGGCCACACTGGCTGTCAGACCACCCCGCCCAGCCCGGCTCCCCGGCAGCCACCAGCACGAGGCCCCAGGAACCGCGTGAGAGCGTCAGCAGCACGGGAGGCTGAGCGAGAGACACAGACTGATGGACAAAGGGCCTGAGGCTGCATGGCTGCGCACGGGGTGCCGCCGTTACACCCGGGGGTGCCATGTGGCCGGTCAGGCCAGCGGGGTCGGCCCCACCCTTAGCACGGGGCAGCCGGCCAGGAGCGAATGGAAGAGGGAAGCTCGGAGAGGGGACGAGTGTGAGCCCAAGAGAGACGTGGGAGGGGGGCAGCTGGTACGTTCCTGCTGGCCTGGAAGTGCCTCTGGTTGGGACTGTGCCGCCTGGACCCTGCCAGTGGCTGCCCAGAAGAGGCCCCCCCTCCCAGGGTGTGGTCTGCCCTTCGCTTCCCCTCTCGCCCTGCCTCTCTCCCAGCTGGTCTCCTTTGTCCCTGCTGGGTGACTCAGGGGAGCCAGGCGCTTCTCCCTGCCGGTGAGGGGAGAGAGGGGGTGGAGTTTCCTCACACGCGGCTGCCTTTTTTCCCAGCCCCATTTCCACCCCCAGCCCTGGGACTCACTCAGCCCGTGCTCAGCAGCGTGGCTCAGGACAGACCCGGTCATGCCACCGTCCTCTGCAAGCCCTGAGCCGCCTGCAGCCCAGCCCCGGGGCCTTTGGGTCACTTCCACTCCGTGCTGGGCACAGGATGTCCTGCAGCAGCCCCCACCTGCCCCTGCAGCCAGAGAACACCGGGCCGGTGCGGCGTGTGGACACAAGCCATCGGAAGATCGCAGCGTTTCAAGGGCGGGCGTGGGCAGGGTCAGGCAGCGCTGGCTCCTAGGGACAATGTTTTGACTAGGGACGTTACATGTCGATTAATCAATGACATTCCCATCGAATTTCCATCGACTACTCACTTAGCCGGTGGGGGGGGGGCTCGCTACCCCTGCTGCGCCGATGCCTTTTAAATGTAGCGAGAGCCGCCCAGGTCTGCATTTCAAAGGCAGAAGAGCAGCGATGACGCTCGCCCGGGCTCCCACCTCTCCCTTTGAGCCCCGGGGTTCTTACTACGTTTCATAGGGAGAGGCACAGGGGTCGGAGCTTCTGCCCCACTCAAGCCCTTTCTCTGCTGCGCCTCTACTTCTCCTGCCCTCTGAACCAGCTTATAAGCAGGCTCCCCCCAGCACTGGCTCCTGCTCCCCCACAGACAGAGGCAGTGGGGGGGAGGCGCCTAGTTGAGTCACTACTCGACAACCCAGCAAACATCGGGTAGTCGACTAGTCGCTTACATCCCTAGTTTTGACCAAACAGATTTGGGGCCAGATCCCAGCTGATGTGAATTCTCATGTCACTCGCTTTAGTGGAGACCACAAGAGGTTGTGAAGACCTGGACTGTAACCGAGATCAAAAGAGAACTAGATCAATTCATCAAGGCAGGTCCCTCAAGGGCTACTGGCCACACAGGTGTCCCTGGCCTCTGTTTGATGGGGGAAGGGTCAGGACCCTGGGCTAGAGGGACCTTTTCTCTGGCCCTGTCTGGCCATTCGGATGTGCTGGTGAGACCCGCTAGTTTACTCCGGGGAAGACCTGGCCCTGGGTGTTCTCTCACCCCTTGCTGTTCTGTGAGGGACAAAACCCCTCAGCGTGCCGGGGAGGGAAATGGGCGGGACCTCACAACCGGGCCGTGGCCCCGGGGAGACGCCCACTGTGGCGTGGGGGGGGCTGTCTGCTCTGTGACCCGGGGTCCCCCTGCGCTGGGGTGGGAGATTCTCACTGACTCTCCCAAATGTGGATTAACCCAGACACCCCGGCTCAGCCTCCCAGGGAGGGAGACAAAGGGAGGAGGGCGGAGACCAGCCCCTGGCTGGGGGGCAGGGCTGGAAGAGAGGCAGTTTCTGTCTGGTATCATGGAGGAGGCAGCCTAAGTAAGGGGGCTGGGATTTAGGGGCCCAGGCTCCCCCATCTCAAGGGGGGCTGAGGCATCCTAGGCCTGCCCTGGAACCAGATTCCATCTGTGCTGGGCTGTGTCCTGGAGAAGCAATAAACTCCCTCTGTTCTACTGGCGGGCGGAGTCTGTTCGTGCCACTACGGGGGTGCAGGAGGTGGGGGAACCCCGACGCGCCGTCACACCCACTATGGACAACTGCAGGGTGAGTTCCGTGGCGAGGGAGAGGCCCAGCATGCTGGCCTGGAGGGCCCCCCTGCGGCGGGTGGTGGGTCACTGGGATCCAGCCTGTGGCGATTGCGGGGGTGAACCGGGGAGGTGAAAGGCTAACCGGTGACCTTTATGAGTGATGCTCACCGGTTCTGGTTAACCCGTCCCCGGGAGGGGGGGCCTGGAGCAGCTCCCCTGTGTGCAGCGGGCCCAGGCTTGGACACCTGGAGCAGCCCCTGCCTGTGGCGGCGATGGGGAGGGGGCTCTATAGCCCAGCTTTGGCATGCGGGGAGAGGCGCTACAGCCCCACTGGGCTGGAGCAATGCCCCAACCTGTGCCCCCTCGAATCGGTTAACTGGTTAAGCATCATGTTTACGCAGTTAAGGGGATTTGCCATCCCTGGGATGGAACCCCTCACAATCTCACCATGCAGCCAAGCAGAGTGGGAGCTGGATTCCCACGGGCAATCTGAAGGAAAGGCGGGACAGTCCATTCCCGACGCCCTGAGCCCCCCCGCCCCTAACACATGTGCGACCATTCCCTCCACTAACCCCTCCGGATCTCAGCCGCGTGACCCAGGCAGAGCCTCTGCTTCCTGTGCCAGGCAAGGCCCTGGCTCCGCGGCCTCCACTCATTGCTTAGCAAGACACTGCCTGGACAGCCGTGGGGTTTGGCGTTCCGAAGGGAGTAACACCTGCTGCCTGGAGAGCAACAGCTGCATCCCCCAAAGAAACAGGAGCAGCCAAGGAACAAATCTCGTGAAAAAAAGAAAAAGAACCAAAGGCTCCAGCCGCAGCAGGGCATTTTGAGTGTTAGTGCAAATGCTGCCGCCACAGCAATTACAGGGACTATCACAAGAGACCCCCTGGGCGCACAATCAGAACTAAGCCAAGAACAACCCGATGCACAACCCCAGCTGAAGGGTGCAGACAGAAACCACACCACAAATGGGAGACACATCCCAACAGCCACATGGGTGCCTGCAAGTGCTCTAGGAACACTTCCCCCGCACACACAACGTAGTGACGAATAAAGGGAAGCACACAGAAAAGCAACAAGCCCCCAGTTCCCACAGCAACTCCTGCAGAACTCGAGAGTGAAAGAGACACAGGCCAACACAAGGGCAACGCAACCTTATTTACCCCTGAATTATCCAAACACGAGAGCTACCCAGCAGATAAACCCCAAGAAATCCTAGAACCAATGCGACAGGCTCGAAGATGAAGAAAGAGTTCCAATACGCATCGGCCTTCAACTCCACAGCCCCCCGGAGGGCCAGCAACGGAGGGACAGAAGCAGGAAGCCATGGGGAAGTTAAACTGCAGAGAACTTCTGCAGGCTCTCAGTAGGGCTCTCTCATCAAACGAGGCCTGCTGCAAGGGGGTCCCAGTGCTCATTAGGACTAGGGATCTGTGCGGAATAAAAGCCCGTTAGCTCCACCCCCCCAGCAGCATGAATGTCTCAGCACACGGAGAGAGGCTACGGTTCCACACACCTCCCAACTTCCAAAGCAGGTTACAAAGCAGCAGAGATTAATAAGGCTGGGACTTTTCAGCTTCGAAAAGAGGAGACTAGGGGGGATAGGATCGAGGTCTATCCACTCATGACTGGTGTGGAGAAAGTGATTCAGGAAACGTTATTGACTTGTTCCCATTACACAAGAACCAGAGCTCACCCAATGAAATGAATTGGTAGCAGGTGGAAAACAAACAAAAGGCAGTATTGTTTCATGCAGCATATAGTCAATCTGTGGAACTCCTTGCCAGAGGATGTTGTGAAGGCCAGGACTTTATCTAGTTTTTTTTTTGGAACCCTGTTAAATTCACGGAGGACAGGTCCATCAATGGCCACGAGCCAGGATGGGCACGGCTGGTGTCCCTAGGCTCATATCAGCCAGATGCTGGGACTGGACAACAGTGGTTGGATCACTGGATGAGCCCCTGTTCTGTTCACTCCCTCTGGGACACCTGGCATTGGCCACTGTCGGCAGCCAGGATCCTGGGCCTGATGGACCATTGGTCTGACCCAGCCTGGCCGCTCGTATGAAGCTCTGGGAACCGGACTAGAGTGAAGATGCAGGATGGCACAAAGCCCCATGCTTTAATAATGCCACATCGCCCTTTTGTGCCACTCTCCAGCTTGTAAACCGCTGCACGCACCCAAGCCCTGCACTGCTTGGGGAATGGGAGACACTCAGGCTGGCCCGAGGCTGCATGGACACCACCCAGAAGTCCCAGCTGTCACCCACACGAAGCACCGCTTCCTGCTAATCTGGGAATGGGGCGCAAGAGTCTCAAAGGCCAATCTCACTGCATTAGCCACTGGACACCACCTCCGCCTCCCGCAGCTCAGGAAAACACGCCATTGTCTGCAAGCGACCTGCACACAGACGGGGAGGATAAAAACCAGCTACTCACCCTGTAAGAACCACCACGAAGTCCATCACGTTCCAGCCATTCCTCAGATAGGAGCCTTTGTGGAAAGCAAACCCTAAGGCGATTATTTTAATTCCAGCCTCGAAACAAAAGATTCCAATGAAATATGGTTCTGTGTCATCCTGGGGAGAGGGAAATGCAGACAATTTACATCACGAAAACGGTAACAATCCTTTGGGCTTCTCCAGGTCTCGAAGCACCCTCTGGGCATGGGCAAACTGAAGCACAGAGGGGAAGGGACTTGCCTCAGGCCACACCCGGGGGAAGTGGCAGGGACCCTGCTCTAACCACTAGATCACACTCTGCCCAGAGCAGGAGCAGAGTGCAGAACTTCCTGGGGCTCTGTGCTCTGACTGCTAGACTACACTTCCTTCTCACAGCAGGTAGTACAAGAGAAGGGGGGGCAGAGAGGGAACGGTGTGAATGTCAGAAGAGATGTTAAAATAATTCAAGGAAAGCAAGGGTTCGGGGAGGGCCAGCTCTAAGTAGGCGGGGGTGCAAAGAAAGAGACAGAGGTGAATGGAGACCAAAAATCCACCCCCCTAGATTCCTAGAAGCCCCAAAGCCACCGGCATGGAAGTGGCTGTCACTCCCAGGCAGCGCAGCCTGGCTCTGATTTTCCTGGGTAAGGAGGAATCTAGGACAAGCTGCCGCAGCGGTAACACAGCCAGGCTCCGGTGGGACACGGAAGCCGAAGCGGTTGTGTGGGAGGCGCATGCCACTGGCCAGTTGCCTGCAAGAGGGCAGGAGGCAGGATGTGAAGAGGACAGCTGGACAGGGGAGGGAAAGGCCGACCACCCTGGGGCTAAGATCTCAGCTGCTTGGAGGAACGATCCCAGAGTCACGCAGGGTGTGAATGTAACACGCAGGAGCCGTCCAGGACTAACTCCGAGTGGACACACACACGCCACGTGGCCGGCCAGTTCCCCAAGCCACACAAGACCTGGGGACCCGGCTAGGACAGAGGGAAAGGCCCCAGTTGGCCCCACTCACCAGTCGTTCCGACATCGGAGTCTTGTCTTCGTCAGGCAGGTGCTGCTCCAGAGCCAGAACGATGCAGTTTGCGATGATCGTCGCTAAAATCATGTATTCAAAAGGAGTGCGCCCGAGTCAAGGAAAGCTCAGCTCTCGGGCTGCCCCGGGGGAGCGCTGCCTGCAAGAAGGGCCCGGGCCTTGCGGGGCGGAGCCCAGCTGCTGTCAGCGCGGGATCACTCTGCTTAGGGGTGTCTGGAGTCAGAAATACCCACGTGCCCCCAAGTCCCTGAATCGGCTGCAGGGGCAATGGGGCTCTCCAAGGGCCTGAGCCACCCAGCCTCCAGCCCTCGGCCTAGGCTAGCTCGCTGTCCCGTCCAACCCAATGAGCTCTCCCTGGTGTGCTGGGCCATGTCGGACCGCTCCCCCAGGGCCCAGGCCCCAGGATCCCAGCCTGCATGGCAGGAGAGACAAAGCAGGACAAAGGGAGGGGGCAGCCCCGCTTGCCTTTGTGCATGGGGGAGCCAGTCACTGGCATTCAGAGTGGCTGGTGCCATGACTATGCAGTTCAGCTGTGGCTGGTGTAACCGGACTGTGCTGCAGTCAGCGACCACCCTGCCATATTCCTCCACACAACTGGGCTCCAGCCGCACCTGGCCTGTTGCAGGGCCACGCCTCCAGCCCGTCTGCTGAGACAATCTAGGCAGCTATCCCATAATGCCTCAGCTGCAAAGCGGGGGCAGGGGAGGGGAGTACTTTTCAGACCCCCTGGGTAAGGCTGTGAGTCTGGAGTCTGCGGCTTTGGGACTTTCTGGGACCTCTGTGACTTCTGCAGCTGCACTAGCTGGCGGGGCTGAGCCCTGGGCCACTGGGGCGACCCCAGGGCCAGCTGCACAAGCCACCCCAGGGCTGTCAGAGCAGCGGCAGTCCCACAGGCCACCCGGGAGGCTACCAGAGCAGCGGTCCCCTCAGAGCCCTGGGTGGCTGGGGGCAGCCAACAGTTCAGGGGCCATTGGGCCCCAGGGTCCTCCGGAGCAGCGGTGTCCTGAAGTCCCCCCCAGCAGCAGCACCCCAGGGCCTCAGGAGCTGCCAAGTTTCCAGTCAAACTCATGGCCGTGCATATTTCACTGCCTGTCCACCTCCCTTACGAACAGCCTGACTACAACGTAGCCACGATGCGGTCAGGAGCACCAAGCCACACCTGGAGGAGCCCCGCTGGCACCGGGGATGGGGAGGCTGGATGTCCAGCGGCAGAGCTGGGGTGAGATTCTGTCCCAGGGAGGGGATCGGGCTGCTGTCTGCTGCAGGAGGCAGGAACTCGGGACTGGGTGGCACCAGAGGCTATGTCTGTTCCTGACTCAGGGAGAGGAAACTACAGGTCAGAGCAGGGAAGTGAGTCTATTCCTGGCTCTGTACTAACGCACTGTGAGACCGTGGGCAAGTCCCTTGCCCTCCCCGTGGAGTTTTGCCCCCTCTGCCAAAGGGTGGGGCTCAGAGCCTTATGGGGGATGCTTCTGAGTGTGCTTGGGATGCAGCATGCGGGGGCTTGTGGGCCCTGACTCAGGCATCCTCTCCAGTGCTGTGGCTCCCTGTAAAAGGGTTAAACTGATCTCAGCGCTAAGCAGCTGGAGTATGCAGAGCAGCTGGGGCTAGCCCAGTCTGTGGTGGGGAGGGGGGCCTGGTAGCAGGGGCCTCACTGTGCTGTCTCCCAGCACTAGCGCTGTCATGCTGAGAACCGGCCCTTCCTGCTCATCGCTCGGTTGGGGTGGAGGCCTGTCGGGGGCCTGTGGGAGCAGAACCACTAGCGGAGAAGTCCAAGGAGAGGAGGCTGGACACGGGCAGGGCATGAGAGGCGGGGCAGGCAGAAGGAAGGTGAAAGAGCCACCCTGTGCTGTGGATCGGTTAAAGCCTTTTTTGCAGCAAACCCTGAGCTCCTGGGTCCCCAAGCAGCACCCCAAAGCCCTGCTCCCTCCCACAAGGCGCGAGCCACTCGCCTGCGCCAGTCTCCTCTTCGGGCTCCCCCACACTTCCCTCCCAGGCAGGGAGGCGCTCCTGGGCAAAGGCAGCCCGGCTGTTCAGAGCCACCCTGTGCTGTGGATCGGTTAAAGCCTTTTTTGCAGCAAACCCTGAGCTCCTGGGTCCCCAAGCAGCACCCCAAAGCCCTGCTCCCTCCCACAAGGCGCGAGCCACTCGCCTGCGCCAGTCTCCTCTTCGGGCTCCCCCACACTTCCCTCCCAGGCAGGGAGGCGCTCCTGGGCAAAGGCAGCCCGGCTGTTCGGGCTGCACTGGCCAGTGGAGGGGGTTGGGCGGCGCTCGGGAGTGCACCG